ATATATATATATATATTTGCGATAGTAACACAGCCATACGTAAATCAGGCTTCGAAACATAAGTCAATAATTCATAATCCAGTAATCACTTGAAGTTTGGTATTAACCAATATTTTTGGACTATTAAAGCTTACAACGATACTGTAAAATATTTTTTGTACAAATTCTAATGTTGTTTTAAAATGGTACGAGTATTTTCATGACTACTAGTTCGAACTAAGCTTCTTCAGCGCGTAACAGCAACATAATAAAAATACATTGATTCATAGTTAAAATAAGTGATCTACCAATACAATAACGAATTTATAAATTCAAGCGATTACTGGACTTGAACACACTTCCGACGTTTCAGTTAACCTTCGATTTTATCTGTCAGGTCATATTGTAGCTTCTGTTGATCAATGAAACGAAAGAAAGCTATCTTTCGTTTTTACGGCTTATATGTATATTTACGGTATATGTATATATTTATATGATTTTTCACCTTTAAGTGGCAATGTATGGTTTAAGATTTATCATAGCACGTATAAAACTACGTATTTTAACAAAAAACTAGACATTGCACTTTTTGTCAATATATAACTTTCTTTTATTAGATTTATTATTTTACACTACTGTAAAAAAATCTTTTACAAGACAATTAAAAAAAATTCATACCAGTTAATTTTTAGGGGAAAAATGACCATTTTTACAGTATTGATGAAAACTTTGCAACTATTTCTAACAGTGTGCATGTGTGAATACATATGTGAATTACAACGATGTTATTAAAACAGTGCTCAACTGACTCGCCCAGTAAATGCATTTGTTTATTCGCTTTTATTTTATCAGCCAATAGGGTACATATTTTCCAAAACTTTTTTTTTAGCAAGTTTAAAAATATATTACTGAAATATATTAGTACGATCTTTACGATGTATTAGATTATCGTAGAAATCGTGAAAACCCTTAGAATTTCCACATATAAGCTTTTGACTTTATGTTATGCGATAGTTCGGATAGTAATATATTTGCGAAAAATGTAGTTCATCATAAAAAATATATATTTACCAAAATACTTTACAACCACTTGTACTTTTCCACGAGTAAAAGTTATTGTAACTAGTGTTCATTATTTTTGTTTTTATGGATGTTCAATGATTTTCTCGAAATGTAGAGAAAGCTGTGAAACTTTGAGCAATAATTACTTAGAGTATCAGGAAACTATGTGAATTTTTTCAAAATTTTTTTAATAATTAAATTTTCATTGTCACTACAAGCTCTTAAGAACCACAATGAACTTATGCTTTTTTTCATTAATAAAAAAATTTGTGTCAAAAAATACTGACTTTGAATGGTTGTTGTTGTAAGTTTTATTGCTTTCTTTTTATTTTGACGAAATAATTGAACCTCCTTAATATACGGAAAGTTTACAGTTATTAAATTCAAGTTAAACTTTTGCATGCAATTTTTGGTTTTGTAATCTCGATTGTAATTTTGGCACTATAATTCATATAGCATTATGTATTGCATTGAATAAGCATCATTAATTTTATTTTATTAAATCTGTCATATCTCGTACATAAATAACACTATCGCATAACATTCAGTGTTGAGTTTATTTATCACGCCAGTTGTGATAGTTAGAGAAAAAATTAATGTGTACGCTATATTCGAGTTATTGCAAAGTGTTTTTTACAAATTCCTTTTGCTGGGCTTGATCTAATTACATTCGGAAGCTTGACTGAAATATACATAACTTTGATCACATCAATTATTCATCTTAATCTTATATCTCATAACTCATAGTGTCTCAGTTGAAATGATATATGGTAACAGCTGTAATAGTTTTATCGATGTAACACAGTTGAGCCGCTATAACATGTATTTTACAAATTACATCATCTAACGTCAGTATATAGTATATTTTTTCTGTTTTACCTAGTCGCAGACTTTTTTTCCTCGGATATATATATATATAATATCTGTGTATATTGCAAACTAGATTTGGTATGCACTTTGGGATATGCTGCGGTGAATCTCTAAAGGGGAGACTTTTTTTTTGTGACTTACGATAATTATTTTATCTTTTGTGTATTTTCTTTAACATTTCTTCACCTCGTCAACATTATTTATATATTAATCTCTTTCGCGAACTCGATACATTAATCAATATTTATCTATCCCTTATACATATCTTAATAAGCATTATTCGCTTGCTCTTATAATTTTTTTTATTCTCTCTGTACATTTATATACTCTTTCGTGTGCATGTATGGTATATTTATTTTAAAACTTTTCTATATTACACATTTTACACGTGACAGCTTCTTTTTTTCATTAGCTCTTTCTGAACCAGCTGGTCTTACTCTTCTGGAAGTACAAGTAGCATCAAGTCAATACTTCGTAGGAGGACAAAGCTTACATTTAAAATGATTATATCTCGCTTTTTTTGAGTCTAAGCTTTTGCTTGGAAATGAACAAATTTGTACGTGGCAACAGAATCTCAAAGGCTAACGTAAAATATTAAAATTGTATAGAAAATAAACTTTTTATCCAAAAAAATATCTACAAATAACTTGTACTAAAAATTCTTTGGTTATTAATAAAATCACGGAAAATATTACTAAAAAAATTAAGAAATATTGAGCAGTAAACTTACAAATTAATTTAAGTTTTATACGACACAAAACCAACGTATAATTAATTAGAGTGTTGTGGAAATAATTATTATTTACAACGATTCAACAATAATTCTAAATCGAACGATTTTTTTTCATATATATCTAAAAGCTCGCCAGTTCCAATACAATTCGAATTGCATTTTTTTTTTTTCAATGATTATTATATACGTTTGATAAAAAATCGCCAGCACTACTATATGTTCATCTATCTACTAATGAACAAAATGAATGTTACAATAAACGCATCGTCAAAGCTTTGTTTTTCCGATAAAAAAGTCTCGTTCGTTTTTGGAGTTAAAAATCGTAAAAAGCAAGCAGTGGAACTCTAAATATTAAAAAAGTAGGTCAACAGATGAGCGTGAAAAATATCTTTAACAATGCTCATTTTGTACAAAAATTTCGCAATAATCCGTAACAGCATCTTCGACGCGACACTTTTTCAACAAACAACACACATACAAAACATCTACTATGGAATCAACGTCGTGAAAAAGAAAGTATCTACCCTACGGACGCTTTATCATAACATTCAGTTCACTCAAGAGGTAGAGAGAGAAGAAACTCGTCAAAGGGAAATAAAAAACAATGCAGGTGAGAGAGTATCAAAATAAAGTACAATAATAATAATAGTGACACAGTGGGGCGTGAAAGCGCAAGGGAAGAGGAAGGCGTAACTCGGCGAGGAAGTGACGAGCAGTGAGCAAGCGTAGCAGGGGAGGCTACGACCGGTAATCCTGAGGAAGACTCGGTTTGCCGGTGGACGAGTGGCGCTTGTCGTTTTCTTGGCTCGGCCTCTTGGTCGAGTGCTGGGGCCTCAGGGAGGTCAGCAGTATCGACTGGTTGTCGCGGGAGTGCTGGTCCAGGGGGTCCTTGAAGCGTGGCTTGAGCTTGAGCGCGCGCAACTCCTCGTACGCTCGCTTGTTCTTGTTCTCCTGCGTCGTCTCGTCGCGCGCCTGCTTCTCCTCTGAAAACAGAGCGGGGACTCGTTATTGGGGCTTTTTCTCCTGATTGCCTTTCTTTTCTCTCTTATCTGCTATGCGCTCTATTTTTTTTTATTTATATGTATTGCGGTTGCACAGGTTTTCTAGAATGCTTTTCTCTAGCAGTTGTGCTTTTTTTTTTTTTTTTTTCCTTTTTTTTTGTTTCGTGAAAATGATACTTTGAGCGTATTTTTTTTCAGATGTTGAAAGAATGTTCAAATTAGGAATTGTTCATTATTCGCAAAGTTGAACGTGAATACTAATTTTTTTGCCAAAAATATTATTCCAGTCAGGTATGAGCGACGAGGCGCGCTTTGAGTCGATATTAAATTCAATCTCGAAATACAAATGAGCTGATTTGAATATCTCATCGAAATGTTTCAAGTGCTGCAATACATATATAGCTACGGAAGCGCAAGTTCGGTATAGTTAAATCGTTCCAAGATTTTTTTGTTTTTCTAGAGTTTCGACTAACTAATCAAATTTTAGTATTTTAAAATTGCTCTCTACTGGCTAAAAGTGCAAAATTTCATATTCATGCTAATAACTTACACGTTACTCACTCATCTGTAAAACTTAGTTACATATAATTCGTTTCATTAAACATCGTCCTTCTCATCAAAATTCGGTATCATTAGATTCTAAAAACGTATTTCATAAAATGGGGTGAAACATAGAATGAAAGTATAATTTTCCATGACGTCGAGAATGCAGGGGTGAGACGTGCGATGCATTAAATATAAGTTCTCAAAAGGACGTGTGACTCGTCCTCAATCATCCGTATGCTGGAATTCAATTTTCCTTCATTCTCCTACAGCGAGACTTAGTACATGCATACACACAGCAAAGCTTCATCTATATATATATATATATATATATATATATATATATATATATGTATGTATTTTTTTTTAATGCGTGTGAGCTATAAGCGAAAAATTTCCTTTTTTTTTCTAACCATAAAAAATCATCAAACAAATCAAAAAATTCCACAATGAAACTTTCATGCGAACGGGCTCATTGTAACTACTACAGGACTTCAGGTATTACGATATCACTATGGTTTTAATGATCAAAATGTGTACAACAGTGGAACCTAAAAAAAAAAAAAAAAAGCTCTTGAAGGCGTCAAATTGTTGTCATTAAAAAAGCTCTACCGAATCACTGACCTAGAACTACGTCGAATAATACAACACATTATATTTACAAGCACAAGTAAAGGTCGCATATTATTGTGTCAAGGATCGCTATTTTATGCATCTTAATTCATCGATCTTATCTTTTTATTCTGAAAATACAAGCAATGTTTTCGATCGTAAACATAATAATGAAAATAAATGATCAAATCAAATGATAATAATTTTTTTATGCGTTTTATAATCTACAAAAGTTATGTACACCGGATGGTAATCTTTCGTTTCGGATCACGGGTACGAGGTATAAGTCTTTGAAGTTTTTGCGCTTTGATACACCACATGGAGAACGTGCATTTTTTCTATAATGTAATAAAAAGTAACTAACGCTCTATGTTGAGAAACTAATTTTAAAAAATTGAGTAAACCTCACGTCACTATCCCGTGACGTCGATTTAGATAAAAGCTCGACTAACCCCTCATATTTGGTAATATATTTTCACCTAATCGATATTTCAGTGTTTCACGATACCCTGTGTAGTATTACATATTTTTCTGAGATGACTTTAGCTATCCAAAATATGACTTAATTAAGTTCCAAGGCATGCAAGTTTTCCATGACGTAGTAAACAACGTAGTGAATGCAGAAGGCGAGCAGGTCAGGCTGTTTCACACGTGACTTGGAAACATTCATACTAAAAACAAGGTATTGGTATATAGTGTGTTTACAGTGCAGCAAGCGTACCTGCCGTGTTGGTCGTTCCCTCAAGATAAAACCGATTAGTACACGTGTACTCAAAGTGCTTAAGACAAACAAGTTAAATAGCAGAGCATGATAAATGTGTACGAAATAATGTCTGACCTTTCGATGGTTTCGTACTTCGCGGTGAATTGCAGTTTATTGAATATTGCGTGATGTGACAGAGTTAAATTTTATTTTTTATTTACTTTTTTTTTTATTTCTGTGACTAGAACATAACTGCAGCTTTTTGATTTTCGGCACAGGTAATTAAAAAGGATTAAAAAAGGATGCACGAGTTTTAGATTGTCAAGTATTTCCGGTTTGTCTCTAAATTAAAAAACGTGATTTTGCCATTGATTAAAAAAAAAACCTAATTACAAAGAATTCCTTCCTCGAAATATATCGTTCAAAGTGTAGGAATCCGTGCAAGAGGGTATTTTGGAAAACCAAAAAATTCTGCAAGAATATCTAAAAGAATAAAAACAACATTTTTAACGTTTTCCAAGTTTTTAAAAATATGACTGTATTGTTTACTAATAAAATATTTCGCAAATATGACATGTGTTCGTAGTGTACTTTTCTCCTATAAAATAAATATTTCATTTTAGTTCTTGTTTTAGAGCTATTTTTACGAAAGTAGTTTTTTTTTTTTCCAGAATAGTTTCATAATAATTTCTACAGCAGAGTCTTAAAAAAATACGTTTTTATTGAAAACAAATGAAAAAATATAAAAAAAGTATTTTGATATTTTTTTGTACTCTTCCTGACTTCTAATATTTAACAAAAGAAATTATTACAAAATTTTTGCTTGTAACAACGTATATTCTTTACAAAATAATAATTTTTTGTTCGAAATCGGGATACAAGTATAAAAAAATAGAAGTTTTGATTAAAATGAATATTTTTCTTGATGGAATTTTAGATATTCTCACAAGCATACAAAATTTAAAATAATAAAAAAACATGAGTGTTCTAAATTAGGAACAAGTCAACGGTTGATGAGCATCTAAAGTATAGCATGGGTGAATAATTTTTAAATACTTTTACATATTCCAAAATTGAACTTCGCTATAGCCTGTAATAGAAAGACCTACAAACTGCAATAACATTTACTTGGAAAATTAAAATTTTTTGTTAGGATATAATATTTTTTGATCCAAAGATTAGAAATTAACTTGTTTATGATTAGAACCTCGTATGAAAATTTGTTTTCTATCGCAGCACAGTTTCAAGTAGTACAGAGCCGTTATGGTCAGACATTGATTTTGTACGATGCACGTAATAGTTAATGGTATCTCATTTCGTACAGTACTAGGAAATACTTAGCTTTTTTTCTAAAGGGTTACAATCGTAAAGTATACCTTTTGAAAAGCAAAAGTTAGTTTTCCTAAACAAATAATCACAACAAAAAAAAATTTACAATTTATCACAACTTAATGACTTTTATCAACAATTAAATAAAAATATGATCCACCGTCCGATGTACATAGAAAAAAATATCGACAACGTCAAATACTTTTTTGTCATTCCGAAACTTTGGCATTTTTATTTATAATGAGTGTATTGGTAAATATACCTTCCATCGCGTCACAGAACAGCGACATAGGTAACTTGGAAATGAAATTTTTGTCCTCGCTCGGATCTGTCCACAAAACATGTCACAACAGACTTGCATTAATTTCTTTCTTCAAAGTACAACGATGTTACTTATATAAATACACATAGTATGATCAGATTCTTGCCTGACATTCATTTTAACGAAAAAAAAAAAGACAACGATGAAACACAAATTACAGATTATCGGAAAAGCAACAGTTACGCGCGAAAACTTGAAGCTAGTGCCTGTACCTGATAACGTTGCCCAGCACGAGAATATCACAATATTCCGCGTTTTTTTCTCAACGGAGATAAGTCCCAAGTACTTGACAATGAGAGAGCTCAACAAAATGAATCCTCGAAGGCGGATAGCAAGAGATACTCAAAACCACCTCACGAGCGCCACGTAAGCTTGTTATTCATTTTTTTCCCCATCCAATACAACGGCTGCTTTTAAAGATGAGATTTAAGTGCGCCCGCGTGCTGTTAAGGCCAAGGAGAGCCAAAGCTACGCGATGACGTAAAGTGAGCACGAGACGAGGCTCTCGAGTTATCGCGTGAACCGGCCACTTTTCCTGGTAATTAATTGAGACGTTGGACGGCGCGTGGGACGTTGGCGTCTTGATGTTGCGTAAACTTCGAGGTGTGCTACCTACTTCCAAATTTCTGGTTTGCATATCAATAATTTTTGTTCTTCAATTCTTTGAGAGGTTTCACATCTAAAGCTGTCCAACGTCCCGTAAAAAATTAGTTTACTTTATTGTTTTATTTCGTGAATGGGTACCAGGATTAGAAAGAAGATTTTTCATTCAACGTGGTACAATGAAAAATAAAAAAATCTTAAAATTTAGTTGTAACTATCTGGTTACTTTGCGTTTAAAGAATATTTGGTAATGTATACACTCACCCTCATACACATGCCACACGCAGAGAAAACACACCAAATAACATCATAATGACAATATTGTACAAAAGCCTAATGATGTACTTAATTTGTAAGAGGTATGGTGACAATCCAGGGCCTGTCCTATTTTTTTTTTTTTTTTTTTTCAAAATATTTGTTCTTTTATGGCTTATACGATATAGAGTGGATCAGTTCGAGAGTAAACGTGAAAAAGTATGGATTGTGCTGGTAAATGAGAGTGTGATTTGTGGGTATTGTCGCGCGTACCATAGACGTTGGGAAAAGCGTCGCCCAGTAGTGTGAGGCCGGTGCTGTCGTTGTCACACATGGCCGTCCCACCAGCGTAGGCGGTGGTACAAGAGGACGTGTTGGTATTGTCGCAGGAAGTTATGAGCTTCTCGGTGTCGGAGTCACCACCGGCATTGCTATAATAGTTATTGCTGCTCTCTGACTTCTTTAATATCGATTTAGAAGTGCGTTGCCGTTCTATGAAGGGAGTCGTTGAGTCGTCTATCGAGTCGGTCGACAGGGATAGCTTACTTGTGCCTTCCCTCTTACCTGCAAACAACGCATCAGCCAGGCCCCACATTGGACCAAATTTAGAATATCATTCTGCACCCTTAATCTCATTTGGTTTCTCTTTTTTTCTCTCGCTCATTTAAAAGCAGTAAGCATCTTTCTACGTGTTGGCACTTCTAGCTGTTGCTAATGTTCATTTTTTTCTTCTGTGATTGAGTGCGGATGATTTTTTTTTATATGTTAACATTTTCTTTGTTCGCTGAACGATTTTACATCTGTTTTTTTAATCTTAAAAGGAGTTTTAGGTCTATTTTGTCGATTCTTTCTTTGTTTTTATGAAATTACTGAATTTTCTTCAATTCCATTGATTGTCAGTTTTTGTCGATTGACTCATCGTTTTAAAAATGATTGTATTTTAAATTACACCATCAACTTTCGTTAAATGCGACGAGATAAAAAATATTTTTCGTTCTTTATCGAATTGAAAATGTTTTATTTAGTAAGTACCATAATTTCATAAATTTTGATGGTTCCATGTCTGTAAAAATATTTTTTGCACTTGATTTTTACATGTATTGTTTGTGTTTCGTAAGGTTTTAACCACTTGTTAAATGTTCAACTATTATAGTATAAAAAATAATCTAATGATTTTTTGAACAATTTTTCATGTCAATGACACTAAATACTAAGTTTAAAATGCTTTTAAACTAGTTTAGTAATTTAATAGAAATTGAGTAATTTAATAAACAGTTTTTAATTTATTTCTTTAATTTTTTTAATATTCTAAAACTAATTAAAACTAGATAACCATCTAAAAAACGTCCGTAGCATTTCTAGCTTCTAGGAAGGTGGCATGTCAAATGTACACTCAATAAAAGCTAAAATTTCCGAACAATCACACTTATTTAGTTATACTAAAAAGTGTCTCATTTTTATTGCCCCAATAGTTTTTAATTAAAAACGAATCATCAAAACTATTACTTAATTTTAATTAATTTGAGAGTGAAGAATAATGCTAATTTTTATCTTATTTACATTATGTATGATTTATTGCAGTCATATATTTTTGCCTACTTGTATAAAAAACAGATTTACTGTTTGACATGATTAGTATTAAGTTTATCTTATTTTTTTATTTTTTTTTATTCGCTACGTGTAATTATTGGGTTATGATTTAATTGTTAATGACTTTGCTGTAGTCATATAAATTTATAAAATATACATATGAAAACAACTATAAAATTTACATAAAGGTTTATGTAGTCTTTGATGTGTAACATTGAATCGCATCAGTTAAAATAAATATGAGGTAATCTGATCAATTGAACTTACATTTTAATTCTCACTACTAATTAATGTATAAAATAACTAAGCTTAGGATATTTTAAGTGAAAAAATACGTGTATCAGATAAAAGTTACACCAATGATTAGAAAAAAATTAAAAACTTCCGTAACACAGTGGATAAAGGAATTGACTCTCCTTCATAATTATTAAAAATTTTTATAATCATCAAATGAAATCATTGTTCTCAATGATAAATAATTATATATTAAATCCGTGCAAGAGGGTATTT